TTGGACTTTGCTTGTTGCCTTGAGTTTCATGGGAATAAGCATCTCTTTCTAATTTATATCCTGTTGGTTTGTGTCGCTTGGACTTTGATTCACACGATGAATCCTTATCATCATTCCCCAGAACACCATTGTACTACTTGCATTCAAAACCCTAACTACTGTTTAGTTATAATTTTGATGGATCATGTTTAATTTTTACTGACTGAACAAGTACGCTGCGATGCCATAACTACTTTACTTCAATTGTCGTCAAAATTTAGCAATGGTTATTGATGTCAGTCTCCCTGTTGGAATTTCAGTTTTGACTCGGTCACCTTTGTGAGGCCGAAAGAGATGGCTAATAAGCACAACGAGATGCAGCAGAACACTGGATTAGTGGAAGCAATCATACTTGAGGTTAAAGATAGAGAAAAGATTGGAGGGTCCTCTTTAAAGTCTGATGTCATTTGCTGCAACAAACACCATTCTGAACAAGGGGTCTGCAAAGTTGGTGAGGTTATCATCCATAATAACCCAGACAACCCCGGATGGCCAAAACGCATTAAGACCTTTTTCCAAGGGAACAATGAAGAAGTTAAAATGGAGCTCGAAAATGTTGAAATAAACAGCACTGGGATGTACTACCTCTATTTCATGTTTTGCGATCCGCAACTCAAGGGTACTCTTATTAAAGGAAGGACTGTGTGGAAGAACCCCAATGGTTATTTACCTGGGAAGATGGCTCCTTTAATGACATTTTTTGGTGTGATGTCTTTGGCTTACCTTGTACTAGGCCTTGGCTGGTTTTTAAGGTTTGTTCAGTTCTGGAAGGATATCATTCATTTGCACTACCATATCACACTGGTGATTGCTCTTGGAATGTGTGAAATGGCTGTTTGGTACTTTGAATATTCTAATTTCAATTCAACTGGGAGCAGACCAATGGGTATTACATTGTGGGCAGTGAGCATTGGCTCTGTTAAGAAGACTCTATCTCGCCTTCTTCTTTTGGTGGTTTCCATGGGCTTCGGTGTCGTCAGGCCAACCTTAGGTGGCTTAACATCAAAAGTACTTCTGCTTGGTTTGGTGTATTTTATTGCGACTGATGCACTTGAGCTGGTAGAACATTTGGGGAACATTAATGACTTTTCTGGGAAAGCAAAGTTATTTTTGGTTCTACCTGTAGCTTTTTTGGATGCTTGCTTTATTCTATGGATTTTCTCATCACTATCAAAAACTTTAGAGAAACTTCAGGTAAGACTCTTTCCACTTAAAACTGTAATTAGAGATGCATAGAAAATAGATGGAAAGGGATCTGACATTGATAGACAATGTATGTATCGGCTAGCATGGCATGAAGCTATTAGCTCAATTAGAAATCAAATTCACCAAGCCTGGCTTCTGGATTTATATGGGATTAGTTGCATGAATCTTTTTTCTCCATTCTGCTCAGTCTTGGTATGTTGAAATGATAGTCTTTCATTGCTAAATTTCCTGTCTAACTTTTAGTTTATACCTGCTAACCTTATTTCATTGATCATTCATATAATGTAAAGGTGGAGATGGAAAATGGGCACATTATCTAAAACTAAACAGGCTCTTAGCTTTCATTCTTGATCTTCCTGGCAGCAGTAGGCTCTGTATATACAAATAGGACATGATTTTCTTGTGAAACTTTTAGTTATTCATACCAAGAATCTTATCTTATTTGCAACAACTTTTAAAATGATCCATTTGTTTCCAATTTTGTTCCTGTTGTTTCTTGATTGTAGATGAGGAGAAACTTGGCAAAACTGGAGTTGTACCGCAAGTTTACTAATGCCCTTGCAGTGTCTGTGTTGCTTTCTATTGCTTGGATCGGCTTTGAGGTAATACAAGTTCTTCTATCCATTAAAAAGTTATTTAGGTGGCTTGCTACATGTAATCTTTGAGAGCCAGTTGGCATCACACTTCCTAGGTATTTGGAAACTGGGATATGCCTAAGAACAAAATACACCCATGTGTGGTATAACATATAATCATTCTTGGTAATCTTTCAATAAACATTCCTGGGAAAAGGATGCTAGACCATGAATGTTGTTGGTAGTTTGGAATCTTGCACAATATTTCCAACATGCCCATAGTGTCAACTGGCATGTAACGCTATACAACATCTATTATCAAATTCATTTTCTACTCCAGCTAGTAATTAATATAATGAATCCATGTTATATTCATCTTAACTTGGCTCAACTAAACCTTTGTTTCAAACTAGTTGGGATTGGCTATATTATTCAATATCTTCTTACTGCACAATTGAGGGCTAAAACCTTTGAAAGGTTGAACCCACGTAATGTTCCATTGGCCTCTACTTCTTTACATTCTTCCTACTTGGATCTAATCAAACTTTTGTGCAGAAGCATCCCTAGGTCTACATTGCACATGACTAAACCTTCTAGGTCACCTTTTCCTTGTTTTATTTTCAATCAGTGCCGCTTCTACCTTCTTAAAAATATCTTCATCTCTTAGTCTATCGTTTCTCACATGCTGACGCACCTATGTCAACATTCTTGTCTCAGACACAGTTATTTTGTGGACATATAACTGCCCAACATTTCATACCATCAACCATAACCGATCTTGTGGTCTTCTTAGAAAATATTCCATCATCTTTGGTAGACTTATTTTCTGGACATGTTGTCTTGTAACTGCCCAACACCCCGCACCGTAAAGCATAACTTGTCTTAGGGCCTTTAATAGAATTGTTGCCTCAACCTAGTTCATATCTTCTAGTTGCAAAAAACCTACATCACTTTTCTACTTCATCCTGCCTGCACGATTCCTATTGCTAACATCCTCTTCAAGCTTTCCTTGTGCATCATTGAACCAAGGTACTAAAAACATCAATTTTAGGAATTTCTCAATTTTCTATTCTAGTTGCATCATCCTCTCTTATTTTACCTTTTTAAACTTATGCTCCACATTTATTATGTTTTGATCCTTCTTAATTAAAATCCTCCAGAGTCAATCCCTGCCTTAGTCTCATTTACTCATTTACTAATGACATCTGCAAATGCAAAATAATAGGCAACAAGGTATGATATCATGTCCTTGATATAAATCTATTGTCATTTGAAATTTAATATTATTGAGTTTTTTAATCAAGCTCAAGCTTAAGCCTGGCACTTGCTTGGCTCAATTACACCCTATGCATCACATGGGAAACTAAGATGCCCATCTCTCTTGGGTTGAATGGCTTTCCTGAAAGATGTGTGCCAAATGCAAAAATGGTCTAGAGTGCTTGGGAATGAAAAAGAGGTCTTGTGTGCCAAATGTGGTACCTGAGATTTATGCTTCAGTCTGGCCAAAAAAAAGAATAAATAAAGATTCCTGCTTCAGAATTCCCTGGCATCCCATAAGGATTTAAGATTCTCTGTGTCAAAGATCAGCTAAGTGAAGTTTGGAATATTGTAATGTTCTCTTTCCATCATATTTGTGTATATATTTATCACCTTCACACCGTCTCTCCTTCCAATCCCCAACCCACCCCCACGCACTCACACCAAAAAAACTCTGAACAAAAACTAACGAAAAGAAAAGAATAAACAAGTATAAAGACTTATGATTGAAGCTCCTCTGATTTTTCTTGGCTCAGCTATACTTCAATGCAACTGATCCACTGAATGAGTTGTGGCAAATTGCATGGATCATCCCAGCTTTCTGGAATATGCTTGCATATTCTCTTTTGGTGGTCATATGTGTTCTGTGGGCTCCTTCACGTAATCCAACGAGGTACGTATGTTGATGTTTACTATTTGCAGTTTTTGTGTTTCTGTAATTTATAGTTTACGCTTACATTTTCCTGACAAATATCTCACCTATAAAAAGCAAGTTTTAACTTTCTTGAGTTTAATTGTGTAGTTTTGTCGTCAAAATGGTGATAAAGTAAGCTTCTTTTGTTTTGTGTAATATTTAAAGCATTCCGAGTTATATTAATAAATTTGGATAAATTTTTTTTCTGGAACAAAATCAAGCGGTATATGAAGTTGAATTTTTGTACTTCAGTCCAAGTCTAACATGGATTTTTCTGAGAGGCAGCTCATATTTTCCTGTATTAAATAACAATGCTTATTTAGCCCCCAGAAGTAATGCTGTGTAACCAAGAGTATGCCAATACTTCATTTGAGTATTTGACTCTGAAAACATACTTGATAATGTTGGATTCTTTTTGGTTCATTACCAACACAACCTTTACGGTTCTAAAGAAGGAGAGCATGTGCGTGGAAAACCAGTGTGGTGTGAAGGATGTTTCCATTTCTGCATCTGTACTTTTTCTCTTTTATAGTTTCTTGTAACAACAGCACATCAGTAGTTGTAGAATATCTTCTGGAACTATTGCAGATATGTAGTTGCAATTTGCAGTCTCCTAGACGCCAATAAACTATATGAGTATCTTTAAATAGCTAGCTGCAACAATTTGGCTTTGAGTTGTTACTTAATTTGACTATGCATTTAGTCTATTTTGCTGGCGGACCTGCCATAGGATGTTTGGTTTTGACTTTTATTTAAAGTAGACGGAAAAAAATAATAACTTTTGGCCATTAATGTGGTGTGGACTTGTAGATACGCTTACATGGAGGAGATGGATGGGGACTCTGATGAGGAGGGTGTTGCATTGACCAGCAATGGTGCGGACATGGCAATGAAGCTGGAAAGGCAGGCAATTGGAGATGATCTTGAAGAGGATAAGCGTGAATAGATGATATCGCAATGTATAATATACCAAAATCCCTATTGAAGCTTGAGTTGTACCCTCAGGAAATATCTGTAAATCTTGCTGTACAATCTGAGTTGTATGTATAGCGAACTTGTGATTGAAGTACTTTGAGAAGGCATGAACATAGATATTGCAGTATTACTGTATTAGTGAAATTTTACGTCTGAACTCTGACCAGCGCTAATTTAAGCAAGGAGCAATGCCATCTCCTTCTAACTCATCTTGAGGTTCTCATGTCTCCTTTGGTGTTATAAGATAATTGTTGATGCATAGTTATATAAAGTGCATGCTTCTTTCATCTGCATTTTCAATTCTTTGCTAGTGTTCACCATTGGGCTGTGCTGTTAGCTATTCAATCAATAATATTTGTAAAATTAATGAAATATTACTAAATTCTAATAATTTCTTTGAACTGCATAAAGCGACCATAATAATATTATAAATAAATTAAAAATAATTAAAAAAAAACCAAACCGTTATATTTATTTTTTTTTAAAAAAGAAATCATCATATATTATTGACTCACTCGACAGCTAAAGCAAATCAGGCTTTATGTGAACATAACTCCTTGCACCTTTTGCCTTTTGGGATGGGATAAAAATTTTCCACCTACTCGGATTTCCTTCCACACCTTAATTCCCCACCCCAACATCCATCATCTCTTCATCATAAAGCTATTCAGTTTCTTTCTCTGTTTTGGTTTTTATGTAGATCTCTTTGTGGGAAGGCTTTGGCAAAGATAACCACAAGGTTGGTTCCGTTCAACCTCGTTTCTTGAAGCTAAATCTTGGGTATGGATTTTTTTTTTTTGGGTATGGTATAATTAGTATTTTTTGAATTTGGTTTAACAGCTGAAAGAATATGAGTCGTCACACCACACCACCACCACCACCTCCTCGGAGACAGTCCTTACGATGATCCATTCTTGAGGTGCTGTTGCTGCCCATGTTTTATAATGTCTTCCATTTTCAGGGGCTTTGGCAGATGCATATTTGTTGCTTGTTATCCTGTTCTCCACTGCTTTGGATTCGATGATGATTGGGCTCACCGCCATCATCACCGTCACAGGCACTTCCCCTGAATTCTTGTTTCTCTATTTTCAGTTTTAAGGTCAATTTTCATGGCGTGTTGAAATTTCCTGCTTCATTAGTAATTCCGAATCTTCCGAAAACACTGACAAATTGCTTTGGGAATTTGGCAATAGGTATTAATTCGTCAAATGGTGTTGATAAGTCTTTACAAATACCAAAAGACTCTTGGCATTCATATGAATTAGAATTACTTGACAGACCTATGCAGTTAATTCGCATGCCTTGTTATCAAATTACATTCCATTGGAATTATGAAGTGGTAAAGCATCAAACCCCATTTTATTGTATATATCTGTTGAGGAATATCCCCAAATTAAACGAGAATAGTAGCACTGTAGCAGTGATAATGATGCAATAAAAAGTTGCAACCCCACCAGTAACCCACTCTCCTCCCCAGCAACCCATTTCGAATTGCAGTGGAACATTAGAGGATTAACGGGGAGCCTGCAAAACAGCTAAGGATTAGAGGGTTTAATGTTGCATCATAAATTTTATTAGTATATTCAGTGTTTAACAATATGTGGGATGCATGGATCACTACCTCCTCCATGCTTTTGGGGGTCATTCACGAAGGAAGCTTGCTGAAAAGAGAAAGGCAACCAAGAACCATGGCCTCCAAAAAGTTGGAAACTTATCACAGTTCTCATGGATTTTTACTACTCACTAGGTTCTGATCCAGAGACCAAGTTTTTGTATCCCCAAATTAAACATATCAGTATTCATTTAACAAGTTAGCAACAACTAAGTCATGTGCATGGTAGAATGTAAAAAATCCAAAGTATGCATAGTGTTATCTTATTTTATAAATTTCATCTCAAGATTTAAATTCGAGATTTTAAATTAAAAATTCAAATCATAACCATTTAAAAGTTCTTTTAAGTTCATCGAATCATACTATTAGCTCTCATACTTACAAAATGTGACACTTTACTATTGTTATTGTATGGTTTATTCTCTATTGTTTATAGCCTTTTTTCTATTTATTAATTGAGACAAACCTTTTTTTGGTAGTTGCTTTCTGAGGCTAATGAGATAAGCCTTGTACACAAATGTCGCAGATAATGTCTTTGATGAAAATTATTATTTTATTTTATATTTATTGCATAGCAGATATGAATGACCACCAGATGAAAGACAATGGCTTTTGGCATTTGCTAATAAATAAGATTGTACTCCAAATGTCTATAGCTGGTGGGCTCAAGGACCCCTTTTTTGTCCTCTTTCATTTTGAGGTGTCAATCTCGCTGGTTTGATATCAAGAATTAAAAAAAAAAGGCAGTAAAGATCATAAAGTTTTTTAACAATTAAAATTAAAAAAACTTTAAGGGATAACAAAATGAATTACTTTAATTTTTTACATAAACTAACTAAGTTTTGAATTGGTATATGATTTAATTGGATTCTAATTTTTTACTTAAAACATGTTCTTCCTTTTTTAAATTTACTTTCTATATATATATATATATATTTTTTTTTTTGAAAGGTTACTTTCTATACTTTTTTGAGAAAGCAAAAAGTACATAGTAAGAGTAAGCAATAATAACTTTCAAAAAAATAATTAGCAAGAACCTACCACATATAGCCTTATTAATTTTTGTGATACTAGAATAAACCATAAATGCATGACGAATTAAGTTTGTTTTCCGTTTTTGGCTTTTTATAAAATAGTGAATATGTTAAGAGGATAAGAGTTCATAAACAATTAATGTTGATTATTTATTATATCTTCTTGATTCAACGAAATTACACATCTTAGCTTATCCTACTTCTCCTTGAAAGCATCCAAAAATAAGGTCGAATTTGTCATTGTAGTATGGTTTAATTAAATTTTATCAAATTTATTAATATAGGTGACAAAATTTATGTCAAATTCACTGTTTTTATAATTATTCGTAAAATTTAAAGTATAATGATGAAATTTAACAAACTTGAAATAAAATAATAAAATTCGATATTAATTCATAATATGATAAAAAATATGATTTGATTTTTAAAATATTGATATTATCCATAAGATTTAAATCTCCACCCACTGTTAAATTGCAATGCAGGTAAAAAGGAAAGAAAACTATTTTATTTTTTATTTTTGCCAGAGAAATAAAAATGAAGTGTGTGGAGGCCTTTAATTTGTGCAGTGCAACGGCGAGGCCACGAATGGTATGGGTTACACTTTTATGACTTAACAATCAGAGAGAGGACAGGACCATCTCCAATTAACCATGACGTGTTAAAGCCAATCAGGAAAAAGAACACGTGTATTGCATGAAACCTATACCATTTATTAATATCTTTTCTCCTCTCTCTCGTGGGTCGCTCTCCCTCTCTCCTTGTTGCCTTATTCCTTCCTCTCTCTCTCTCTCTCTTTCATTTAGAATTGCAATAAAAATAGATAAATTTATAATTTAATATTTATCCCAAAAACTATCTCTTTCATTTATACACTTGTTATGTAAGCAAAAATAAAATTAAAAATTTTAGCAAGAAATTAAAAAATAAATTGCATGTATGAGTTTAGAAAATTAACCGTATACCTATTTAATATTATGGAAAAACTAACTTAATTATTAAATAAATTAATGATAAATTAATAAATTGTGAGGGTAAAATAATAATAAAATAATTTTAAAAAATAAGAAATAGAAAAAGTTACTAACTTACGAGGAGAATTCTTAGGCCTTAATCAAAGGCGGTTTAGAATAGATCTCCCATTGTAAGTAGTATTACTAAAACAATACGGTTCCTGAACTAAATACTAGTTGCTGCTTCTTTTTGTACTGTACGATATTATATGTAGCCCAATCTTTTTCTCAAACATTGGATTGATCAATTTATACTGTGAAAAAAGCTTACAATTCCAGCTATTTGTTTTGTTGTTTTTCTCCTCTTCATCTTTCTTTCTCTGCAATCGCAGGCGGCAAAAAGGAAAGGAGAATTCAACTTAAGGCAAGGAAGGGATAGGAAAAATTTTAACCAGAAGGTTACTTTTATGCTAAGTTATTGATTTAAAATATTCCCCATCTTGAGTTATCGGAAAACATTTTTTCCTCATCCTGTGTCGAGCAAGGATGAGAGAAAACTTTGGGTTTTTAATTTGTGTGTGGATTTTGTTATGGGGGAATTGCTTGGGGAGGTTTGTGGTGGAGAAGAACAGCTTGAAAGTGACATCCCCAGAGTCAATCAAGGGAGTTTATGAATGTGCAATTGGGAATTTTGGGGTTCCTCAGTATGGCGGAACCTTGGTCGGTACTGTTGTTTATCCTAAAGCAAATCAAGGCGCATGCAAGATCTTTGATGATTTTGACATCTCCTTCAAATCAAAGCCTGGTGGACTCCCTACTTTTCTCCTTGTTGATCGTGGAGGTCAGCCTCTTATTCTTTCCTTTATTCTGGTTTTCATGATGAATTATTTATTATCATCGTTGATGATCCAGTTCTTTTTACGTCATGCTCAATAACTGTTTTGGAAGTAAAATGATTTAATTATGGTTTTTTTTTTCTACTTTCTATTTATGTAAACATGATATCATAATTCAATTAAGTTTTCCCTTGTGTTTTGGGGCTGACAAGTTGGTTTTCTGTTTTAATATGAGTTTTACAGTATTTAAAACTCTTAAATATGCTGGCAGTTGGCATTTGTTAAGTTTAGCATTGCCTACTCTGTTGATTAAAGTTGTAGTCCTAGGTATTTGAGTCATTATTTCCTTGGTTTTAGTTATGCTCTTCTCAACTTGCTTTAAATGCACCTGCATATCATATTCACTTTTGCTGTTATGGCAGATTGTTTCTTCACCTTGAAGGCATGGAATGCTCAGAAAGCTGGAGCTGCTGCTATTCTTGTTGCTGATAACAAGGATGAGCCGCTGATTACCATGGATACCCCTGAAGAAGAGAACGCTAATGCTGAATACCTGCAGAATATCACCATTCCATCAGCCCTCGTTAGTAAATCATTAGGGGACAGTATCAAGAAGGCCCTAAGTCTTGGGGAAATGGTTAATATGAATCTTGACTGGACTGAGTCTCTTCCGCATCCGGATGAGCGGGTTGAGTATGAGTTTTGGACAAATAGCAACGACGAGTGTGGACCAAAGTGTGACAGCCAGATGGAATTTGTCAAGAACTTCAAAGGAGCTGCTCAAATACTTGAGCAGAAAGGGTACACTCAGTTCACCCCACACTATATAACCTGGTATTGCCCTGAAGCTTTTATTTTGAGCAAACAGTGCAAGTCACAGTGCATCAATCATGGGAGGTACTGTGCTCCAGATCCTGAGCAAGACTTTAGTAGAGGATATGATGGTAAAGATGTTGTGGTTCAAAATCTTCGCCAAGCTTGCCTTTTCAAAGTTGCTAATGAAAGTGGAAAGCCATGGCTTTGGTGGGATTATGTTACAGACTTTGCTATCCGCTGCCCAATGAAAGACGAGAAGTACACCAAAGAGTGTGCAGATCATGTTATCCGGTCTCTTGGTAGGTTAATCCTTTATATATTGCTGCTTTACTCATGTGCTATATTATGTATGATTGCAGTCTTAAAATGGGTCACACACAATATTGCTGCTGCTTTACTGCTAATAAGTGTCACATTTTAATTGATTTCTTTCTTTAAAAATGGAGCATAAGACCACTAAATTGGTCCCCGTTTGTTTGGGGTAAACACTAAGTAATTTATTCTTCCAGTTTACTCCCTAGTTTATTAAAGGTTTCCACTTTCTGAACATTCTCTCCTGTATGTTTGGGTAAACTATAAGCAATTTGTTCTTCCTGTTTACTCCCTAGTATATATAAAAGGTTTCCTGTTTCTGAACATTCTCTCCTGTATGTTTACTAAAGTCAGAGAAATTATATAATTTGTTTTAGACTAAGGCGTTTATATACATTTACATGTGCATCTACCCGCGTTTCTGTTTACTATGTCTATGCATATAACTCTGCTATTTTAGTGGGATATTGAAAAGCAAAAGTATTCTTATTTGCAGCTGGAAATGTTGATTACTTGCATCATCTGTTACGTATAGATGAAAAGCAAGCTTATATCTTTAGATCTGAAGAGTGTACCTATTTTTGGTATATTTATCTTTATCCTGTGCTTTGTAGGAGTTGATCTCACTAAAATAGACAAATGTATTGGAGACACTGAGGCTGATGTGGACAACCCAGTTCTTAAAGCTGAACAAGACACACAGGTCAGGCTACTCTAAAACTTTATTGGTTAAAAAAAATACACGAGGCCCATCTTTGTCATATCTTGTCATTAAGGTTCTCATTTGTTCTGTAATACTGGTTTCAGATTGGCAAAGGCTCCCGTGGAGATGTGACTATACTGCCAACTCTTGTTATAAATAACAGACAGTATAGAGGTTTAAATCAGAATTTGCTGTCATTGCCAATAATCTGATTGCATGAATCACCTTTTGTAACCCAAACCTTTTTTACTGGATTCAGGGAAGTTGGACAGAGGGGCTGTTCTCAAGGCAATTTGTGCAGGTTTTCAAGAGACCACAGAGCCAGCAATTTGTTTAAGTGAAGGTTATCATCTATTGCACTCTATTTACAAGCGTTTTTTTCTTGTGCTCTACTTTAAAATGTATAATTTCTGGTATTCACCAACTTATCACATAGTCAGCAGAGCCCAAGCTCCCCTTTATTTACTAATGCACCAAACGAAGGAGTTACTTCAGTGTTGTTGGGTGGGTAAAATGATTACAGAAACTATGTCCTTTAGTAGCAGCAGACCCTATCTCACATATCTTTTCAGTGTTTCTGATGAGCTTCAGTAAAGTAATAGTTATCTCTCACAAAGTTTTTTCCATGCTATTTTATGTAGATACCGATTTTGATTTGTATTTGCAGTAGAGATTACTATAGAGATATTGATTATTTTATTGTAAATTGTCCTTGGCAGATATAGAAACTAATGAGTGCTTAGAAAACAATGGTGGGTGCTGGCAGGACAAGAATGCTAACATTACCGCGTGCAGGGTATGTCACTTACATTGTAGATTAACTCTATGTTCAATTTAATTTTCTGCTGATGCGCTTTTGTACTTGTAGGATACCTTCCGGGGAAGAGTGTGTGAATGCCCAATAGTTAACGGTGTAAAGTTTTCCGGGGATGGTTATACACATTGTGAAGGTAAATGTTTTTCCTTAGGAAGACTTCCTAGTGTGAAATTGTTGATGGAAATGAATGGTGGTTACACTTAAGGGTTATAATTAATCCTAGAACAGAAATTTGCATTTTTTCTTTTCAACTCATTTATGCTTAGTTCCTATCCTCTAATATCTGCTTTCCTGATTAACAGCTTCTGGGGCTTTGCATTGTGAAATCAACAATGGAGGATGCTGGAGGAAAACACAAGATGGGAGGACATACTCAGCTTGTGTTGTGAGTGCCTCTCGATGTCTGTGTCTTTCACTCTCTCTCTCTCTCTCTCATTTTACCTGTTTCTTATTGTTTGATTTTTTAATGGATTGTTCAGGATGATCATTCACATGGTTGCAAGTGCCCACCTGGATTCAAGGGTGATGGAGTCAACAGCTGCGAAGGTACTAGGATATCTATACCTGGTTCTTCATTTAATATCATAAAGCATCATGCTTAACACTGGAAATAGACAGCTTATTGAGCATTTTTTTTTCTGCTTTTAGTGTATGAGTTCATTTAATATTACACATGGTGTTTCTCCACTAAATCTGTGATATAATGATTCAAAGCTGCTATTTCTACTTTCAGATTTGTGTCTACAATATCATAAAAGTATCTTATTTAAATTTTATATATATTCTACTTTCAGAATTATAAGATGCATACTTGGTCTTTAGCCTGTGAAGAAGGATTTCTTCAGTGAAAGATATTTCTAGTAGCAGAAAACTAGGGTCACTAGCATTCTATGGCACTATTTGATGCAGTGTTTTAGTTTCAAAATTTGTTCTAGGGGTTAAAGTGCTTTGATAGGAGCATGGTAAAATCTTGAATCATTTCTGGAGGTTTCTGATCTAGGAGGCGCTACTGGTAAACGTTGGAGTCTTGGTGCGTTGTTTATGAAAAGGATGAGTGGAGGTTTTTAAAACTGAATAAAATATGGATGCTGTATAAACCATCTTGTAATATCTCTTTTGGGCAACACTTTTAATCAAAAAATGCTTCATAATTACTGCTGCGCCAACGAAGTTTTAAGATTTATACTCAATTATATCTCCGTTGGTGAATCATTCCTCACGTTTGGCTGTCTTCCAGATGTCGATGAGTGCAAGGAGAAGCTGGCCTGCCAATGTCCTGAGTGCAAATGCAAAAATACCTGGGGCAGTTATGAGTGCAGCTGTAGTGGTGGATCACTGTACATGCGAGAGCATGACACATGCATTGGTGAGTATTTTTGGGGCCTGCTGTCATAATTCAATAGACAGCATTTTATGCCCTCTTAACTCTTTGTAGAATGATTTCAGTTGTCTGTAAAATCTTTTCTATAATGTGTTCCCTCATCTGGAGCTGTGGTAGAAAATCCTGGTACTATATCAGATTAAGCTAATTATCCACTAATTGCTTGATTTTGTAGTTTGGCAAATTGTGTTTAGTGATATTTAGAATCTCAAGATTCCTATAATGCAATATTTATTCACTACAGCTAATGTTTTTTATTGCTTGCAAAATATACAGGTAAGCATGCTAGCACAAGGGTAAGCTGGGGCTATGTTTGGGCAATAATTTTTGGCCTGGTTGCTGCTGGAGCTGCAGGATATGCCTTTTACAAATACAGAATCCGGGTAAGATTGTTGTTATACTAATATATCAGGTGATCCTATGTAGTCCCAATACGTTAGGTCACACTAGAATTAATTGAGGTGTACATGATAGAAGGCATCACATGGTTGTGAGATGCATGGGTTGATGATGATGTGAGCCAACCTTTATAGCCTTAATAGTTCAAATCAAATCAAACCAACTCCAATTGATTGCTTTAGATTTCTTTTTAGGTTGATCGAATAGTGCACAATTGTAGTTAGAACCCACCAAAAGACAAATAAAGGGAAGATTGAATATATTTACTAGTGAATTGAGTAGTTTAAATACTTTTAAGGGAGAGTCAAGTGGGAGGAAATTGATTGCTGGTATCTCAACGAATTGCTTTCAAAGATTTTGATTTGTGTATAGTATTTTACACCATATTTGAAAGAAACTGCTTTTGAGTATTCCTTAAGTTTAAAAAAAAAAAAAAAAACCAAATTTGGTAATCAGACAGATTTTGTTTAGAAATTTATCTGGCAATTTTTATCAATTAGAGTCCATTATTTAAACCGAAACAATAGTTGGACTAGATACAATAGAGGGCTGTAATTAAACACAATTTCCGTTAGCACTTTACCACTGTTTCTAGTAAGAAAGGCCTAGATTGTCAGAGAAAGGGAGAAAAAGCACATTTTCCTACCAATAATGGTGAACTAATTTTCATTTGTTCTTCAACTTCATGCAGAGATACATGGATTCAGAGATTCGGGCTATCATGGCGCAATACATGCCATTGGATAATCAACCTAGTAATGTTCACCATCCAGATATCTAAACGCAGCACAATCGCAAAGGACTGCTGAGGGCATAGAGGCAAAGGGAACATAGTTTCAAAAGCCTTGGGTGCCTGCCTTCCCACATTTTATTAGTTACTATTATTAGGTGTAATGTGTTGAGGCAGTTGCTCTACTTATACAGTGGGAAGTTGGTTTCTCTTCGACTATGTAAATTTAAATTATAAGGGATGCAGTAATGGACATGGAAAGTTTTCAATTTGCAGGGCCACAGATCACATGTTTTACTTCTTAGCTTTAAATTCCTTTAGGATTGGCATTTATGCTCGAGTTGCTCCGTCATTTGGCTTTTCTTTGTGGGAGCATGTCATCCTGAACGGTGAATAGATGAGTATACTTTTACTGCTTAATTAATCAGATACTTAGAACCAATAAAATTCACACTGGATGATTTCATTGGGAAATTAGCTTGGAGGAAGTTATGTAATGGCCATTGGTACACGTGTACTAGTATTTGTTATTTACAACGTAACATGCTAGGTCCAATGTAACATACACTAGCGTTCTACTTATAAATATACCTTGTAAATTTGTTGAAATAGGTTGACTTTTGCAGTCTTGCCAAGGAAATGTAAAAGCCTATTTGGTCTTTGTTAGATCGAAGGTACTTTTTGCAACGCTCCCTTAATACACGAGTTATCAACTAAACTCGTTTGCCAAGCAACTTCACATTCAAAGAAACTGAAAAATCTCATATGAAGTTCAGCTGTATGTACAAGAATTTAACTGGAAAGAAATGGGACACATCATTATTCAAAGCTTCTGATGGACATAAGGGAAGAACAAAATAATTTCAATATCATGGCGAATCACTCCACTGGATTCCTTTTAACTACCTCTCATATCATTCACACTAATGGATTCACACTAATACAAAACAACAAAGTCTGACGGAGACCTAAAATTTTGTATGCTGACATGCATCAACAGCATCAAGAGTTTGTTCTTGTATCAATTTTGCTTTCTTTCAGAGCCAACATGATCATCCAGTAGACATATATATATATTTTTTCCTCCCTGGGTCAAAGGGAAAATTAAACTTCTCAGAAAATGTACAAGATAACTCGAATATTTCAACGTTGGTATCAGAAACGAAATTACCCAGCCTGAGAAAGATTAAAACTTAAATATGAAAGAAAGGGAGAGGGGGAAGAGTGATGCTGACAAGGAGCATGGGAGAGTGAGCTGGGGACCTATTGACAGAAGTTTTTCCTTAATACATTTTGTGCAGTTGGTGAAGAACAGAACCTATGTTGTCATGTACAACATAAGGAGGTAAAAGAGATGCACAAATTTGAAGAATCAAAAGTACACATGATCAAACTAAAACTTGAGTAGACGCCTATTGGTTGGCCCAAGCCTCAACTCCAACTCGATGTGCAGCAGATTCAAATTTTTAAGAGAAACAAAAATGAGGTAAACAATAGACAGGTTTCCCAGTTCCCTTCCAATGAACTGGACAGTGTCCATAGATGGAAATAACCTATTTTACATGTACAATTTTTGGGAAAAGAAAGAGAGAGAGAGAACTGAAGACACCCATCAACAGAACTAACCTCAAAAGAGCACATCAATCTTCTGTCTGAGGTTCCAAGCCAGGTTTGTCATTTGGTAGAAGCTTATAGATATAGAATGCCACCACTGCACCACTGCATAGAAAGCAAGTTGTAAGACACATTGAATTTTTGTTTAATGCAATGAAAATGCCTTCACAAACTAAAGCTCGATCTCTAAATCCAAATAACAAAAACTGCAAAAAGAAGGAACTGCTTTACACCTCACAGGGGTGTGCTGAAAGCTAAACTCAAACATGTTATACATATTCATTCCTGTTTCTTTAATGCCAGCATTAACTGAGCTTTTCTCACCCTATTATCATGTTTTTAGAATCAATGTCACACCCTTCTTAGCCACACAGAAGTTAGAAGCACCTGCTAACTCCCATGTACATACAACAGAAAACTTAAACTGTCAAAAGAATCTTAAGAACCTGACTAGGGTTGTAAGAAAGGTGCCCAGAGTTGATCTCTGCAAAAAGAATAAGAACCACAGAAGATAAACAAAATCAGCTTGAGAAGAATCAATGGGAATTTAAAAATCAGAAAAACAAAGGTTACTGAAAATCCTCACCCGAACCAGCATGCTTAACTCCCTCAAAAATATTATAGAGGCGATCACTGCAGAAAACATAAGCCAGTTAAAATGCTAGTATAAAAACATAATAGTATCACCCAATTCAAAATATGAAAGTTTGCAAATTAAGGAAAATGTAGCAACCTGATTGTCCTTTGGTGGCAAGAGCAGAAGACTCTCCTTTTTTATATGATTTTAAACTTGCTACACTTAATGCCAAAAGAACTCCACCTAGAATCACACCGAACCTGATGGCAGATAAGCTCCCTGTCAACATGAAAGAAAGGAATCCCCCGACTGAAAGAATGAAACCTGTGAAACCCAACCCAAAAAGAAGAACGAAATCAATTTATTTGTTTAAATATGCAATTAAAAATACAAAATTGAATATGAAAAACAATTCCCATGTAAATACTAAATACCATAAGGTATCCCAACGTGAAAGTCGAGAATTTTGGAAACGTCGTTTAAGTCATCGGCTGTGGAAGAATATGTTTCGACTATTTCTTTGACTTCTTCAGGGGAATGCTCTGCTGCCGTTGAGAGGTAAACTTTGCCTTCTTCACTGATCTCTTTTGCTATTTCACTCAAATCATTTTTGGCCATTTCTGCTTGAATTTTGAGCTGCTCCGAAGTTTCCTTCAGAGTAATCAAAGCTTTCTTGGAGTAAATTTCGTATGCTTCTTGGGACACGCTTTGCATCTTCAAAGCTTGCTTTTTGAATGCTTCTAAAGCTTGCTTCCACGCTTCATTTGATTCTTCTTCACTTGCCAATTTCACTTCATCTTTTTCTCTCTCCACTTCTATTTCTGAATGCTTCTACAAAAAAAAATGAACAAAACTTAAAAACCATTATCTTCATCATCATCATCATCAATATTGTGCCCAGCAACAAATGAAATTTTGAATTAAAAGAAAACTGTAAGCAATAACAAGTCATTTGAATTTCAACTCACGGATTCCTCGTGGGAAGCAGCTGCAAAAGCGACCAAGGATTGGTTGAAAGAAATCCGTCTATCGAATAAGTGAAATCCGAGGGCTAACCCTTTGGGAGCGGCGAGAGAAACTCTGCAAGAAGGCGGAGTGAGCCGCAGAGACGGCGGCATACGTAGTGCCATTGGAGAAGACGAACCAGAAGCAGAAGCAGGAGCACGAATAAGTCCCTTCAACGGCTCCAAGGCGCAGCTAGGGTTAGGGCTTTTGATCGATAACATTTCCGCTATTACAAATTTCGCAGCAGTGAGCTTCGGGTTTTTAAAATTTTCTTTAAATAAATATTTTTTAAACAGTGAGAAACGAAAGGGCGAACTCCACGAGAAATAAATTACGAGGAGAGATTTATTAGGGATTTATAGGAGTCGGTGGCGATGGAACTTTAAAATAAAAAAATTTAAAAAGAGGTGTCAAAACGCCGTCGCTTAGGTGCCTTCGGTGCTTTCGCCTGGGATGTTGGAACAAGGAGGTAGGAAACCTTTCGATGCGATGCTTTGGTGACACGTAATGAAGAACAGTTTTGAACGAGCGGACCCACAGAATCACTTTGGATTGCAGCTTTGATATGGTACATTAAAACCACGTTGTTCTCGCTGTTCCGCATTTCTTTCCAATTATGATCACCTCATCGTGTGATCATCGACCGTTAGATGCTGTTTACAACTATTAGCAGTCAGGAACACTATTTCAATTTTCACCCAGAAGTAAAAAAGATAGAGGAGAAGATAAAAAAGGCTAGGAAAGAAGAAACGTTAAAAAGAAAGAAAAGTTATTTTTCCACTTTTGTATATTTAATTTAAATAAAAAAGAGTATTATTCTTTCGATTTCGGTCCATACATGGTATATAGACGCCATAGGTTGCTTTAAAATCTGCACAAATAAACTAATTGCTTTAAACATCCATTGCACTGAAATTCGGTTTCTTACCACCTACACTATTTTTGCAGTACAATAATCAAAACAAGTTAACATATTTCTCCAAACTTCAGAATAAATAATTAATTCTTTTTTTATTAGTACCCTTTCTTTAATCAACCCTTTTTGAATCAATACCTTTCTTAATCAAATATATTTTTTGCCTTTTTAATACTTTGGTTGGTTGGTTGGTTGGTTGGTTGGTTTTGGACCTTTGATGTGAGTAATATAAATATTAATTGTTTCAAATCGAAATAATTAATTGAAATTAATTGAATTCAATTATTTCAAATCAATTTTTTTAATTTCAATATTAATCAATTAGAAAAAGATAATCCATTCAATGATTTTAATTAATTTTTGTTTTTCAATATTTACAATCAATTCAATCAAAAAAATACTAATTGTTAATAATATTTTATATTTTTTTAATTTATATTTTAAAATATCTTAATTAAATCAAAATAATCTATCGAACTGAGAAAATAAATTAATTTCGATTATTTTTAATCTTTTATTATAGTTTGATTGGTTTCCATCTAAGGCTCACCGTGTAGGGATTTTCCAACTCACAGGCTAATAGGCATCAGACTGCAAGCTGATTTAGCTTCGGCAGAAGTTGAACTTGGAGGTTAAGGTAATCAAGAATCAGAGCCCAACTCTGGATTCAACATTGGACTTAAAAAATAAGCTATTCAGCTCTGTTTATTGTCTGCTACTTACAGGCCCACCCAGCTCTTAATTGTAGCTAAGCCCATTTCTTGCTTTAGGATGGTTTTGTGAGCCCTTGCTGAGAAATTCATTGGCCATCCGCAAACAATGGAGAAGTTAAAATAAAGAGACGATTTCTTTTAATCTTTAAAGATATAGTGTTTTGAAAATATTTTTTTAATTTTAATTATTGTTAATTAAGAGAAAAGATTTTTAAATAAATTTATATTTAATGAAACTTTGTCATAGTCAAGTGCACATATTAAAAAAAATATTATTACATGTAATGTTGAAAAAAAGATTATTATATGTCATTTTTTTATGATTATAGGAAATATAATAAATAATATAATTTAAAAACTAATTATCAAAATTAGAGGATTTTTGGATAATATTTTTTTTCAAATTCATTTTATATCAGTAATAATATTGACTTTGAATAATTTTTCAATACATCTTCATTTTCATGTCAAATTTATTTTTAATTTTTAATTTTATCTCTATTATGAAAGTGTTTAACTTCAAGAGTTTATATTTTAATGACATATAAAGGTAGAAAATAAGTTATACACTATATTTTAAAAATATTACTATTACATGCTATATTCAAAAAAATATTGTTATAATTGAAAAAAAAAAGTTGTTACACGTTTTAACTCTAGTTTATATTGTAGTAAAATACAAAAGAGCCAGTTACATGTCATGTGTAATAAATATTATTGTTACACGTCATGTTTAAAAATACTGCTTTATAGATTTCATTTCACTTATAATTTTAACTGATCAACTTTTGAGTTTTGTAAATCCAATTGTTGATTTTAAAGAAAATTTTACAAAAAAATAAGAACTTTGAAAACCTTCAAAAAAGGAAAAGGATGAACCAAGTAAGGGATTAACAACTTTAGAGGAAAAAACTTTCGCTCACCTTCATTCAGAGTTATACATATATATATATATATATAATTACAAAATATCAAAAACTGTTAATTTGTATATGTATCTACAACAGCTATAAATAATAAACAAAATAAAATAACACTGCAAGTCTAAGCAAATGTTACACATTTCAACAGAAGATGTTACATAATAAAACTTCAACAATAGATGTTATATGTCAAGGTAAAATATTTATCACTAGATGTTAAATGTCAAAGGCTAAAGCTTTAACACCAGATGTTACATGCTAAGGTTAAAGCTTCAACACCAGATATTACACATCAAGGTCAAAACCTTAGCACTAGATATTATACGCCAAAGTTTCTTTCTTTCTATTTATGTTACACGTCAAAGCATAAAATCACTTTGTTACATACTAAGTCATATTCTACCAGACTTGAATCACTAAAAAATTCAACATCAATAAACCCCAAAAACCGATTGTTACTCACTATATATTTTTTTTTGGTTTGTAGATCGACGAGAATATAGCGAGATGACGAAAGATAAATAGAGAAAGGGTTTTGTGAATGTAAATTAGTAAACCTAAGAATATGTTGTTACCTTTCATGTTATGCTTTTTAACTTGTGGATAGATGATGATGTGACAAAATTATGAAAGGTAAATAAAGAGATGGTGATGGTAGTAAAATCAAAGAGAGCTGGATGGCAAGAGAGAACAATAAGAAATACATGGGAAGCACAACAGACGAATGATGAGAGAGAAAAATTAGAAGCATTTAATATGTCTGAAATAATTTTAAAAGTATTTTTGTTATCTTATGCGAAAATTGGATAAAAACCATTAACTTTATATTGAAAATTAGTTTTGAAATGAGTTTATGAGAATGAACATTTCTCAAATTTTTTTTTAAATTTTTTGCAATGCTCAACAGTTTGATTACTCGTAAATGGCACATAAATCAACAAATTTATGTATTTATTTTTTGTTTTTAGGTCAAATTGACGAGGTTTCTCATTTGATATAAAATGATTTAATCAAAATTATTAAAAAATTACATTGATAAATTGAAAGAGCACATTACATAAAAATTGAAATATTTTGAAAAAGGGAGCACCAAATATCAAAGTCTATTTGGTTAACAATATTGTGTTATGATTGATACGAAAGTTCTATTAAATTAACTCATTGAGTTATATAGTTTGCAAGTTTATACATATATTTAATAAAAATGTAATAAAAAAAGAGATAAACTTTGTTTTCTGGGTTGAAAACTTCTCATCTTTTCCACATAAATGGTGGATGAAAAGATATAGGGCGGCCCTTTAGATTTTCATGATAAAATAATGAGACCCTGCTGTCAATTAGTATTGTGTCAAATGTTTGAATTATGCATGCAGATGGATCAATTTCAACATTTGATGTGTGTATATGAACATGAATACGTTGACTAGATTCGCATTCCACAAGCAAAGTCCCGATCAGATACTTTACTATCTATCATCTTGTCCTACATATGGAAATCGAGCTTCCATCCTAGCTTGATTTGCAGCACCAGCGTGGATCACATCCAACTCAGCACGTGGATTGCCATTGGCGTTGGGCATTGGAAAAAGTAAGGGACACAAAGTCTCCCTTTGTTTCTTTCCCTTTGATCTGTTAAAACTTGGCAATGAAGATTCAGATTCCGCGCCATTTACGCCACTCAAACGCAATCTAAAGTAGTAATAGTTTCAGTCCCCGAGGGAACACAATTAAGAAGCTGACATGTGGTCATAATTTTATTTACGAGTATTTAATTTATAAGTGTGGAAGCAGAAAATCTAAGTGCTGATGCATCATTCCCTTATTTATAATTCAAGCCAAAACAAGAAGAATCTAAAAAGTCAACCAAATCAGAAATCTGACTGCCAAAAGTCACTGGTGGAGTTCCTTCTGATCATTTCAACATGGGGCAGAGACCCAAGAAAAAAGTGGGCTTTTGACCCATGCTACCGGCTTATATAAGACTTCGTTTGCCATTGGGTTTGATTTTTAAAATATAATTTTTAAATGTATTGCATTACCAATCTGATGATGTATTGACGAGTTTTGAACTTCAAATGGAAATGTTTTTTGTATACACTTTTAAAATTAAATTTTCATAACAATTTATTTCTTTGATACATCTTAATGTTGATTTACCTAAATAGAATTGAAAATGACTTATTTTTTATTTTAGAGATTTTAACTTTTCAACACTTTTTCACTGTAATATTAAACATTCAAAAATTTAAATTACGATTTTATACTACTTTTCAAACAGCTTTTTTCAGATCCAATTTTTTCCAACCGCAACAATAATGCCAGATTAAGCCTAAATAGTACTTCCCTTATTCCATAGCATAATAAAAATTACTAATAATAAACAACCATTATTTGATCTAATGCTAGGTTTTTTTTAAAAAAAAAGAATTAAGATGGATATGATCCAAAATTCATATTCTTTATCATTTGTTCCCAAATATATAAAAAAAGAAAAATAAATAAATGTTTATTTCTTCAATGTGACAATCCTAAAACTCATCAATAGCATTTCAATTATTTACAATAAAATTCTTATGAGAGTAATAAATAATGGAATCAAGAAATTTTATTTTTTTATAAATTCTCAACCAATTTGATTATCTAATGCTTTAAAAATTTTGTAAAAAAATAAAAAAAAATTATACATATATGTACATTTCTTTGAAATCAATTTATATTATAAGCAACACATTTAGATAAATAAATATATATTTTACTGAAATTATTAAATATTTCTCTCTCTCCTCCATTAGGGCAGTCTTGTTTGCCGAGAAATTCCCGTGTAAGTAAAGCAAAACCATGTTTCTTCTCGAAGAACAAAGTAGGAAGGGTAGGCAGGCCTTGTCGTGTTGCTGTCTTTAACGTTGTACATTTCACTCTCCCCACTTTGTCAGAGGTTCACATAATGAAGGTTTCCTTCTTAGTGTAAAGCAAGTGCAAGACCATGTGATTTACATTAAAAGTAGCAACCACCAATTTCAATAGGGCATTCATTTAATTTGAACTTCAATTCTTGGGGCCAGAGTAATTTTCCTTTTTTTATTTAAACTAAACAGTAATATATTTTTTAGTTTATACTTCACGTGTTTATGAATCTAATAAAGTCGCTTCATAAAATTTTACTTATAAATAATAAATAATAATTTTATTGATGTGACAATTTGTAAGTCGTTAACAATTCATAAAATACAATGCTTAGATGAAGTTACTTAAATGAAATTCATGATATTCTCAATCGAAACAAATTAAATAAATATTAAAACTAAAAATTCAATGAGTAGATGAATCATGTATAACGTTTTTTTTTTTGTGAACAATGAAAATAAAGTTAATTGTAATAGCATCTATAAAGAAAATTTAATTCAGTAGTTGATGTATGGTGATTTTCAGTTTTATTTAAATCTCTCATTCAAAGTTTTACATGCATGGCATTGAAAATGACACATGCCTTATTTTTGATGCAGGGATTGTTCGATTGCATCAAGTTACAAGGTAATATTTGCTTTAGGGTCTATTTTGACGATTTTATCGTAAAAAAATATTATAATAAGAAAAAATAGACTTTTATTTATAAGTTATAATTCAATATTTGATTATTAAGAATGTGAAATTTTTGTTCCTCAACGCTAACCCTTAGTTAATTGTGGATTCCGTTCGATTATAAGATATTACAATTTTAGGATTTATCTTTAAAGTTTTATCTTTTGAAAAAATGATGCTTTAATAATAGAAAAATAAAAGTAAATTTTTACTTATAAATCAAAGTCCAATTCTTGATTATTAAGAATATAAAATCTTTTCCATTAGAAGCTTATCAAATATAATTCATCCCTTGTTCATACAATGGAATTTTATACATCCGACATGAGTGGATTTTTTCCTCTTGGATTATAACATCCCAACAAACATAAGAAAATACTATTTAACCAACAATCTAATCATTTTAAATATTTTCCTTAAAGCAAAAGATTTGAATTTGGCTATTATAATAAAACAAACAAATAAATAAAGAACTAGTTTTCTCTACTTTGATTCTAAAGTAGAAGAGAAGTTCAAAATTGCATCATCTATTAAGGGTCAGAACATATGAAATTTTATGCAGAGACACAAAGTCTAGACAAGCAGTGTAGTAATTCTTGACTTGAAAACAGTTTCTTTTCTCTCACTTTTCAAATCTATATATACCAGAACAACCAAAGGATGAAACAAGATAATTTTTTTATCCCCTTTTTCACTATTTTACCATAACACTTTCCATTTTTAGTACTTTTTTTCTTGTAAATTTTAGTTTTTCCATGGTTTTATCCTTCTTACTAAATAAATCCTAAAGTGAAGAGCAGTGAGATTGTCAAAATAAGACCTAAAAATGAAGAGTATACCATACCATACAAAGTATGGTTAAAAGATTATACCACAGCAAACAGGTGCTTGGAAACCAAATAAAAATAGAATTTAAAAAGAAAGAAAAAGACCAGAGGAGCAGTATATTGACCGGAGAAAATCATGGCAAGTGGGGGATGCCATGTCAGATGGTGAGCAAATAAAAGTGCCACGTGTCATGACATAGGATTCTGGTTTGACCAAAATAAAAAAAAAGGCAAACCTCCCTCCCCCCAAACCCTCTGAGGCTTTAAATGCTTGCCTCCCTGTCCCAGCCCCTGCCCTGCTTTACTCTTCTCTCTCTCTCTCTTTATTGTACGCAACACATCAACACTTATTACCCTCTTAATTATTATTCTTTTTCTTTTCTTTTCTTTCTGTTACTCCCCACTCCCTCTTTATTTCCTCTCCATCGCCACCTTTTCAACTACAACAACAGCCGACTCTTGCGCTGTAGCCTCGGTTTTTCTCTCTTTTTTTTTTTTTTTTTGGGGTTTCTGAGCTTGAATTTCTAGTACGACTAGTTTTTAACTTTGGGGTATGGGAGTTCTCTTCTTTTAGCTGAAACTTAAGGGGAAAACTAAGGAAAGCGGTTTTGGCAGAGGGAATCGTCCTTTTTGCTTTTGTTTTTGTTTTTTGGTCCAAAAAGAGCTTCTTCATTATCTATCTCTTTGTTTTGCTGGGAGCATTTCTGACTATCTTCTTTGTCCTTTTCTAGCTTTGTCACTTAAACACTTTCTTCTCCTTCTTTCAGTCCTCACACCCCGAAATTTCCTCCTCCAAATTTTATACTTTTCCAACTTCCATTTAATCTTATACAATAAGTAGAAGTAGAAATAGATATGTTTACCATGGAGGCTTAGCATTTTTTTTTTCCTTTTGAATTGAGGGGGAAAAATGCTGTTAAAGGTCTTAGTTTTTCTTGTTTTCGTTTCAGTTGTTGTAAACTGTCAACAGCCAACTTTCAACGACGATGTTCTGGGTTTAATCTTCTTCAAAGCAGGGCTCGATGACCCAAATGCAAAGCTCCAATCATGGAGTGAGGATGACAACGATCCCTGCAACTGGATGGGTGTTAAATGTGACCCGACAACTTACCGGGTCACGGAGCTCCACCTTGATGGCCTATCTCTTTCTGGTCACGTTGGCCGTGGCTTATTACGGTTACAGTTCCTCCAAGTTTTATCGCTTTCCAATAACAACCTTACAGGACCCATCAACTCTGAGCTTTCTCATATTGGGAGCTTGAAGGTTATTGATTTAAGTGGAAACAGCCTGTCAGGGTCGATCCCTGATGATTTTTTTGCACAATGTGGGTCTCTAAGGTCGGTATCTTTTGCAAGAAACAATCTTACAGGTCAAATTCCTGATTCTCTGAGCTTTTGTTCGACGCTTGTGGCTGTTAACTTTTCGTCTAATCAGATTTCAGGGCAGTTGCCATCTGGAATTTGGTTTTTGAGGAGCCTTCAAGCGCTTGATATTTCAGGTAATTTGGTGGAGGGAGACATTCCTGAAGGAATTGGAAATTTGTATGATTTGAGACAGATAGATTTTGGAAACAACAGATTCTCTGGTAGGCTTCCGGAAGATATTGGAAGTTGTTCACAATTAAAATCTCTTGATTTTAGTGAGAACTATGTGTTTGGTAGCCTTCCGGATTCAATGCAGAGGCTTGGTTCATGTACTTCCATCAGTTTACGACGAAATTCATTCAGGGGACAAGTTCCGGATTGGATTGGAGAGTTGACAAATCTTGAAAGTTTGGATCTTTCTGCTAATAATTTTTCCGGAAGAGTTCCATTTTCTTTGGGAAAGCTGCAGTTACTGAGGGAATTAAATCTCTCAATGAACCAGTTTACTGGTGCACTGCCAGAGTCAATGGCTAATTGTTTTAACCTTTTGGCTATGGATGTCAGCCAAAATCTGTTAACAGGCAATGTTCCTTCATGGATGTTTAAGATGGGTGTGAACAGTGCGTTGATTTCTGGGAACACGCTTATTGGGAGAATGGAAAGTCCTTTACTCGCTTCAAGTGTGTCATCTGATCAAAGCCTTCAGATCTTGGATCTTTCTTCAAATGCTTTATCTGGTGAAATTCCATCTAACCTTGGGGTTCTTAGCAGCTTGGTCTTGTTTAATATGTCCAGAAACCATCTTTTTGGTTCTATTCCCGCCAGCATAGGAGAACTGAAGACCACAGAAGTTATTGATTTTAGTGACAATATGCTGAATGGAAGCATTCCCTCTGAAATTAGAGGAGCAGTCTCACTCAAGGAACTGAGGTTGCAGAGGAACTTTCTATCTGGGAAAGTTCCAACTCAGATAGTGAATTGTTCATCTTTAACAACTTTGTAAGTTCTTCCTTACTCTTTAATTTATTTCTTTTAAGAAATTTATATTGAGTTATATACATTTTTATTCAATCCTTAAAGATTTCTTAATACTTAAAAAGTTTGCATTGACAAATTAACTTTATACTATTAGGCTATTTCTAATTGATGACAGTTAGCCACTACACTTAATTTTGAAGCATTTATCATTCCCGATGCTGTTAGGGTGCTTTTAAGGATGGTTCACCGAGACCTTTAGTTAAGGCTATTTGGATTGGTACTGGTCAGGCAAAACCCTTAAATTTATCAAATTGTATGTTGCTAACTAGTTGTAGAAGTAAATGATATCTAAATGACCCTTGTCATTATATAGGGAGATGACAGGTTCCTTGCTGTCTGATATACTAATGACTTATTGGACATTGTTTTATTTTGAACCCTGCTGTTGCTTGCAATGTTGTAAATAGACAAAAAGTGGTTTTGCTACAATTGAGAATTGGTCTGATTGATTGTAATTTTTCTTTTTTCCTTTTCATCAGTCTGTGATTGGATGTTCTCCTGTTTTTTATGTCAATGTAGCAAAACTCAGTTTATATTCAAAGTTTAAGCAAGGCACCTCCACTTTTCTAACAATTTTCAACATTTCTGTTCTGGTTTTTTATTTCGATGGTACAGAATTCTATCTCAGAACAACCTATCTGGCTCAATCCCTCCAGTCATTGCAAACTTAAGCAACCTTCAGTATGTGGACTTGTCATTGAATGACCTAACTGGAAGCTTGCCAAAAGAGCTAGCAAATCTTTCTCAACTCATGTCCTTTAATATCTCTCACAACCACCTTCGGGGTGAACTTCCACTTGGGGGCTTCTTCAACACCATTCCTACTTCATCTGTCTCTGGCAATCCGTCATTGTGTGGTTCCATTGTCAACCGCTCTTGCCCAGCTGTCCATCCCAAACCCATTGTCCTCAACCCTAACTCGTCTGACTCCATTGGTGGCTCGTCTCCAAATCACCACCGCAAGAAAATTGTACTCAGCATCTCTGCCCTCATTGCCATTGGTGCTGCTGCTTTCATTGTCATTGGTGTAGTAGCTGTCACTGTTCTCAATATCCATGTCCGTTCTTCTATGTCACGTGCTCCAGCTGCTCTTCCCATATCTGGGGGGGAAGATTTTAGTTGTTCTCCCACCAATGATCCAAACTATGGCAAACTTGTGATGTTTTCTGGGGATGCTGACTTTGATGCTGGGGCCCATGCACTGCTCAACAAGGACTGTGAGCTTGGTCGTGGAGGGTTTGGAGTTGTTTATCGAACAATCCTTCGGGATGGGCGTTCAGTTGCCATCAAGAAGCTGACTGTTTCAAGTTTAATCAAGTCTCAAGAGGAGTTTGAAAGGGAAGTAAAAAAACTTGGAAAGATAAGACACCACAATCTTGTAGCTCTTGAAGGATATTACTGGACTCCTTCCTTGCAGCTCCTCATTTTTGAATTTGTTTCCAGTGGGAGTTTGTATAAGCACCTCCATGACGGGCCTGGCAGAACTTGCCTATCTTGGCGACAGAGATTCAACATCATTCTTGGGATGGCCAAGGGTCTGGCCTATTTGCACCGAATGAATGTTATTCACTATAATCTTAAATCAACTAATATTCTGATAGATAGCTCTGGTGCACCTAAGGTTGGAGATTTTGGCCTGGCAAGGCTGTTGCCAACATTAGACCGCTGCATTTTAAGCAGCAAAATCCAAAGTGCACTTGGTTACATGGCTCCTGAATTTGCTTGTAAGACCGTGAAAATAACTGAGAAATGTGATGTGTATGGCTTTGGTGTGTTGGTCTTAGAGGTGATAACTGGGAAGAGGCCAGTGGAATACATGGAGGATGATGTGGTGGTGCTGTCTGACATGGTCAGGGGGGCTCTTGAGGATGGTAGGGTGGAGGAATGTATTGATGGCAGTCTTCGGAGTAACTTCCCAGCAGAGGAGGCAATTCCAGTTATAAAGCTTGGTTTAATATGTGCATCTCAAGTGCCATCAAATCGGCCAGACATGGAAGAAGTAGTTAACATTTTAGAGCTAATCCAATGCCCTTCTGATGGCCAGGAGGAGCTGGAGTAAATGATTAGAGATTGAGAAAGCATGAAACTTTGTGTTTCCCGGTGAAGAAGAATCCAGTTTGTTCTACAGAAACAAGAGTTAAACTGATTATGAAGAAAAGCCCTCCCCCGCCCCATTTTCCGCACAATTCTTTGTTCGTTCATGTTGTATTTTCCTTCGTGCCTTGATCTTTTCTTTTCACTTTTTTTCCTTTCCTTTTTGGTATTTTGTTACATAAAATTTCACATACTGGATCCCTTTTCACCGGCTGCATATGGGACTTTGGATATTATTCAATATAAGATATTTACACCATCTTTTGTTTCAATTATCCCGTATTTATTTTCCTTGTAAGGAATTTAGTATGAAAAAGTAATGACAATGGATGTACAAAAATGAAGTGAGCTTCTTGAAAGAAAAGGGTTTAACAATCCATTAATATTTCCATCTCCCCCCTTTTTATTCTACTTAAATTAAAAAGGAACAAAAAGAAAGAAAAGCCGCATTAAAAGAAAAAGGAAGGGGAAGTGAAATAAAGCAAGGGCAAGGGCCAGGTGACAAGGTGGGAAATCAAAACATAAAGCGGAAGCGGAAGGAATTGAATGGTATGATAGAAACACATGATGATGTTGAAGAAAAAGCACTGATTTGCTTTATTTACACATTTGTAAAAGCTTGAATTCAATCTTTTCTGCCTTTTTCCCTTTTCAGAATATACTGGCACCCTTGGCCTTGGCCTTGGCCTTAAGCTGCAACCATGGTCAACAACTTTTTAGCAATCAAACCCAACAGTCATACGCACCTACTGATGCTAATTATCTCTACCCATTTTCCATCCACTTTCAAAGTTCGTTACCACAATGTTTGTTTGTATCATAAGCTATAAGACTCGCTCTGTTTTTTTACAATCTGGTCCATAATTAATGCTTCGTTTCCAAGCTTTAATTTTAATTCCCAAGGGCAACCTAATCAAATGGCCTTTGGACGTCGTCACATGGGGGTCCAGACCAGCATTTTTCTTCTCCCCTTTTTGAATGCTTGCCATTATTTAGCGCATGAAAGTTATCATCCAACATTATGAATACCTGAAGAAATGTATTTTATACTAATCATTCCTTACAGTAACTCTATCTTTAAGTGATTAGCTAGGCTGGATCTGGATAAGCGGCTAACTTGAATACTAATCCCTGTTGAAACAAGTAATAACCAATAAGTAGACTTATTCTCGAGTTGGGTAAACAAACATAATTCAAAAGTACTTTTAACAGACAAAATAACTACGTCTAGGGAGGGAGAGTGAAGGGCGCTCAGAGATATCATTATTATCCAAGTAAAGCTAAGCTTAAGAGGGAAGGGAAACTGAAAACTAAACTGTATTGATTTCTTGAAATTTGTGAAATAATGTGTTGAAAAACAAGAAGAATATAATGGGTGTGATTGTCCTTTGCTTATCAAGAGACAAAATGATAGACGCCCCACCTCACTTTTAACAAAGCGACTACCCGACTACTTAACTAAACGCCGTGTTTCCGCTTGCGGGGAACAATTTGATACTATAAAAAACAAAAAAGAAAGAAAATACAACCCTCGCTACGCAAAGTTTGAGGTGAATTAATGATCTGTTGCGTATTTGTTTGTGCATGCGCGCGCGTGTTTTGTCCGTAAGAGAGAAGAGGAAAAAAAGACAGAGACACGTAGGAGATGCATTTGAATAGTGGATCCACCATGAATGGCAGATCTTAGTTTACAATCTAATCACCCGAGTGCGCTGCGAATGTGGTTATTATTTGGACTGATCCGATGTTGGATTCGACACCAATTCATGGGAGCTTGCCAATGAAAAGGTGAACCCCACACGGTCCTTTGGTGGGCGCAGGCTAAACCATGTGTCATGTTAATGTGATCAAGTAGTAGTAGTAGTAGCCATTGACCATTGCTCTCCAGTCAATTTGAAGGGAAATAAAAGGGTAATGAATAAAATTAGAATACATTGATTTCATGGGTTTTCAAGAATGCAATCCTTTCCTACAATTACATGAAACAGTAGTTATCGTGTAACCCGTTTATCACATTTCATGCCCTGGGGTTAAAAAGAATTTATCCCAAACTCTCTGAACTGAAAGGAATGCTCCTCTAGAGTCTAGTCTACGTGCAGGATAAATGAAAAATGAAAGAGAAAAAGAACACAACAAAGCTTCATAAAGAAAACTCAGACAGAGAGTGGCGGGGACAAACAGCGCCATCACTCAATATGATAAAAGGCAGAAAAACAGATGCAATTTCCCTTTATAGGCCCCTTTGGAGGACTTCCTATTACCATGATGACCGCTGATGTTAAACATGGCAAGTGTGTTGACCAATTTACAGTTTCTATATCAAGTTGCCTATTCCTTTTCTTCTTCCCTTGGACTTCCAAGTGATTATCTCTCTCACCTTCCTCTTTGCCAGTAAAAAACCTACTCATCCCAGTCATTTTCCCAGCCATCTCTGTTTGAAGACCGAGCCGTGAGGCCATTTGCTGAGATATTTGCTACATGGCATCCCACTGCTGATTTCACTGCCTTGTCTTCATCCCAATCATCATCCCAACCCTGGTCCCAACCTTCAGCTGTTTCCACTTCAGTAGCTGCCATGGATTCTGGCAATCCCATTTCTAGCTCTTGGTAAGGTATACCATCATGCCGTCTCCTCTTCCTAAACATACAACAAGCCCATGACCCTCCGAAAATTAGAACTGTTACAATCAAGAAGTACGCGCCATTTACTGGAGTCACCAACTTGTCATAGTAAGGAAGGTTTAAGAAAAAGTTTCCTTCAGATACAAGGAGTTCCACGGGAAGCACACAATCGCCATTTCCAGCACTTAACACTAGCTGACTACTGTCGCTCACAGTTAAAGAGATATTAATCTGAAAACAAACAAGCAAATACACACATCAACTCTGGATACAAATAAGCACATGAAAAGGGATAAAAGTATTAAGCATTTACACTTCTTGGAATATTATTCAGAGAGTGTATATCTTCATCCATTATGAACAATGCAGTATACCATTCAAACATGTAAAAGGCCAGTTAAGTGATATTATCTAACATTAAATTTGGATTTGATGTGCATTTACATTCAGGTTTGGCCTAAACACTTGTTACCTATTGGTTTTAGGTAAGATGCTTAACAAGGTATCAGATACAAAATTGTTTATTGCCTCAATTTTAGGTTCTGTGCTGATTGTTGCCCCTTATTTGTTGCTAACATGAGAGGCCTGTTTGTCTCCGTTGTTCTTGTTCATCTTGGGCATAAAAATGAAGGGGACTATTAAGTGATGTTAACCCAATCAGTTGAGAAGGTTTTAAAGCTCAAGTTGGAGTTTTTTTGTGCCTTTATATTTAGATTTGACCTCCACCCTTATTGCCAATTGGTCTTATAAAATATGCTTACAAGGTCCTTTGTCAAAAGCTTTTTAATCTTGATATATAATCAATTTAATCATTTGAAGTATACCAAAGGACCAAGATGTCAGCCAATATACTGCAATAGAGAAATAATTTCCTTCTTATTTCTCCCTTTTTCTTTTTATACACTTAGCTCAGCAAGGATTTACTGAAAGTCCTAAAACATGGGCAGATTATAGATAATTTCTTCTCAGTACAATTTATTTTTTGGGGTACATTTCATTAAGTCCAATGGGAGTGAGAGAATCTGCCACGCCTAGTTCTTCCTAACAATAATCGGTCAATAACCTCATGCTAAGTTTAACAGTTCGGTAGAATCAATGAAACCTAGCTGAGACATCTCCTTTTGTTTGGATGGCCACTGACTAAACTTCAACTTCAACTTTCCAAGATCATGAAAGAAAAAACAATGACTAAGCAGAACAGAAAGAAAAGACCTTACTGTTTCAGTTCCATGTTTTGGTACTTTAAATCCCTTGGGTTTCTCAGATGCGCCAGCAAAATTCACTTTCAATGTTCTTTCTCCACTGTTTTGGACCAGAACAACCAATTTTTTGGACCCTGGTAAGGAAAAAGGAAATCAAATTAAATTACTTCTGCACCAGGAAATGTAAGAGATTAAGAAGGATTGATCACTATGCGAATATATGAATTCTCTATTGCCAATAATTAACATGTACATAAACATAAGTCCACTTATTCTTCATTTCGTTAAATTAGAAAAGAAAACTTGAGAGATTTCAAGCTCTCCATTAAATACTGCTTAAATTTGCACATTTTTAAACTTAACATCTAAACCGAGATCCAATGCTTAGCCCCAAAGAAAAAAAGTAGCATCGAAAATAGAACCAAGCCAGTATTGATATGACATAAAACGCCAACCAGTATATTATTCTAGATGTAAGAACATGTGTGTTCACAAATTTGATACTCCTTCAATCCCCAAATAATGGTTCACTTCCATAACCCACAAGTTAGGAAATTAGGTCAAAGGCATTTACAATCTATTGAAATGTTTTACGTCAGTTAATCCCTACATTTAGAGTAGCAGTCATTTTCTCTTCATCCGTAATGGAAAAAAGGCTACATAATGGATACTATTCTAAATTTTTCAACTAAGCACCTATCCTTTTATTGCCTTCAAATGAATCCCTAACTGATTATTTACACTCAATTAGACTATTATTTGGATGGAAAATGGTTAAGTAACTCACATGACCCAAACATTCATTGCTAGCATGAATTTTCTTTTGTCCCATGGCAACAAGGACATGGGAAAATTACCAATGCCACTAGATGATACGTCAAAATGTTAAAAAGGAAAAACAAATTTTCTTTCTACATCTCTCTTTCCCTTGCCCTTCTTCATTTTCCTCCCTTCCCCACTGCCAAACTACCAACCAGATCAGACATTGATGGTGGTTAGCATCAGATCTAACTGTGAGATGCTGAATTGGCACCAGAAGCTAGATCCAATGTACCATGGTACCGGATTAAGGTTTTCCTAGTCGCATTCCTTCCTGTCGTTCAGGTGAAGACTCATCTTCTTCCTTCTTTTTCAACAGCTCACTCTCACAAGCAAACTATGCCAAATCCCACTGGAGTTCCCAATTACTCCCCAATCCCATCCTTTCTTGCAACAACTTGATGTCAAGTAACCTAGACCTTCCTCAGCAATTCTTACTGGGGCCATCCCTTCTCAGAAGACAAACGCAAATCTTGTACCAGGCATTTCAGATTACCTCTGTGACAGCCCCCAATTATGCACTTCTTCTTTGTTTTATTTTTATTATTTTTTCAATTTCTACTTTAGGTACGGAATTGACAAATTTGGAAATTGGAATAATTAATGGACCCCTTTTCACCATTTAGCCT